TATTCTATCATATTCTGTAACTCTAAATTGAAACTCTACTAGCTCGGATATTCTGAGTTTCGACCTTTGCTCTACTATGCAACTATGGACATCAGATACTGTACTTTATACGATTAACGCGAAATAACAGATTCCTGGTTAGAAATTCTAATCGCGGCACCGCCGGTACACAAATCAAAGCAAAGGCCAATGGTTGCTGATGTCCAGCTCGAGCCACGGTCCGTTTCTGTGTATAGAGCATATTAGCGTTTGTGTCATATCTACTCCGCTTGTGCATAGTGTTTAGATCGCACTCGGTTTTCGGTACAGAGAGAGAGAGAGAGAGAGAGAGAGAGAGAAACATGACTATCGCGCGAATATTCATATTTCAACGCAGAGCTCGTTGCTCTCCGGGATGACGACGGTCAGCGTGTTTGGACGATCCAACGCGTCATATTCGCTCTCGATTCTATAATCTATACAGAAATACAGATTATTTTGTACTAACGTGAATGATAGACAATACATTGATATATACATTGGTACAAGAGTTACTATTTCATTTATATCATGTCTCTATTTTTAAAAAACAATTTGACAATTATTTTACTATTTGATATAGAGCAAAGTTTCAGCTTTTCTAAATTTGTTTTTTAAATTACAGTTTGATGATTTTAATAGAGTTATAAGCAATCAAAGTCAAAATACTCCTTTTATTTAATCTATGATAATTCAGTAACAAAAAATTTTAGGAACATATTTAAAAAACCGATTTCGTAAGAAAAAAACTAAGCTTTCACGTTAGAAAGTCAAAAATTTTCGCAAGTTTTTTTAGGTACGTGACAGGCTCAAAAAGTGAGAAGAAAATTTCCTGATTCGTAGCTTTTCATGTAAAAATTACCAAACTCGCAAAAACTCACATAGTGATCTTTTGAAAGTAAAGATTTTAAACTTTAAAATCTTTTTTTTTTTTTTTTTAATTTAAATTTTGTCTATTTTAACGAAGTTGCAGCTGTTGAATTTTAAAGTTCGCTCTATGTATTTCTGTTTTAACCTAATATATTGCAAAACATAAAAAATAAGAAGGTGTTAGCAATCTTTTTAAGCAGAAGTATAATTTAATATAAATGATAGTTAGAACAGTTGTTTAATCTGTTCTGTCTATTTAAGTAACGTAAAGTACGTATTTTGTAAAGTACGATGTAAAAACAAATTGTATTAATTTGTCCAGATCAATCTTCTGACTGAGCTGTGTTTAAAAAACCTTTGCGCTGTAGTCGTCAATCTCTTACCGTAACACAGGGAAGGAGAAAAAAATCAGATAATTCTGTAAGACAAATATTAATGATGATTGATGAAATGATATGTTATTATAGACAATATCTCCTTTATAGTTCACAACTATGTCATTTAATAATATTATCCATTCGTTGCGCGTATCATTATAAAGGCTGCTGAGATAAGCTTGTAATTACAGATAAAATTTTACGATGCGAATATAACGGGAGATGAGAACCGCTAATCCGTCCAAATGCTCAGAATGCAAAACAGAACAGGATACAGACATAGCTACTGAATTACATAGCTCGAAGCGAACATGGATGCAGATACAGTATATTATTATCCCTAACATGTCTATCAGTACACGTGCTAATATACGTATGTCGAATTTAAGACCTTGTTTCTCAAACAACCTGGTCGATCCTATCGACGAGGTTGATGTGATCCTCGGACGCACCCTGACGTTCGTATTTCAATGTTAATCTCATGTTCGTCGATGGCGACCTATATATATGTACGTCTCTGCGACGCGATACGACATGCAGGACGCGAATGTGTATACGGCGCAGAGAGAAGAGAGGAAAGGGAGGCCTGTGCTTCCAGGCTAGATTTAACGTTTGCATTTACATTTAGAGGAGGTTCACGACGGACGATTGTTTACTAATCGGATCCGGAAAATGGCGCTTCCGGCCCGTGAGATTCGTTCTTAGTACTGTAAACATGTTCCAATGAATATCGGACAGCCTTATCCCTAAACGCAACCGTTGCGCGTTGCATGTGTTCTCATGCATCGCGTCGTGAACAAATCATAGACGTCTATCTTTCTTCAAATTCAACTTACAACACCGAACTAAAGACATTATTTTGATATGTCTCAAATAGTATGTGAAATTAAAAAATTGCATTTTTTGTTTAAACTAACGGTATATAGATTTTGAAAAAAAAAAAACGCTACTGTTAAAGTATTCGAAAATATACGTAGTCCGTGTAGCGATAGAATTAAAACCGTGTTTTTTTTTTCAATACCATCTTTTGGAAAATTGTATAGTATAAAACATTCGCGATACTCTGAATAATAAACTAACAAAAAAATACGTACAGTGTGTAAAAAACAGGTTTTGTACCAGATGCTATGAAATGCGCGCTTGTTGTTTTCCTGCTTTTCAACCGGAATAAAAATATCTGGGTGTGACTAAAGTTAACTATTTCATCGTGCGTCTCCATTGTGTACATGATAACATAAAAACCCCTCGTTTCAGCAAAAATATCATATGTAACAGTGATACAAATTGTTGAATACAAATTGCAGCTTTTCTCGGTAACGTTATCATATTTTTTCTTGTCTTCTCTTTGTCGTGACCATTTTTGTCTATATACGGCGTATTAACAATTGTGTTGTTCTTTTTTGTTGCAGCTTTTGGTGGGTAATAACAATCCATATTCGGAGGAGGAACAAATCTTCGATCCAGCTATAATCGCAACAAAAATCCGTTTTATCCCTTACACTTCTCATATGCGCACAGTATGTATGCGCGTAGAGCTTTACGGCTGTTCATGGACAGGTGAGTGAAATATATGGACATAATCCTTTTTATAATGTTTCCCCATCATCTATTCATTTGCAAGCTTGCTGTTCACCTCGCTTCCAGGCGAGGAAAATATATTTGAATCGATATATTTTAACTCATAATGTTTGTCATATATTTTTTATTGCAATTTTAATTTATTGCAATTTTATATTTGCAAAATATATTTTATATTTGCAAAATATATTTTATTGCAATTTTAGTTTGAAAACAAATGAAAAAATATTACAGCCCGATCTGAAAAAAATTTTACCACTAACACGCTGCACGCAAAATGGTGATGCAATATATAAAATTATTCGAAATGTAAAAAGATATAATTTTATATTTTTTTATAAAATTAGAATCGTTACTCTTTCGTGTTAACAGCTACCGTGACAAATGAATTCACGCTATATATAAGTAAAGTCAATTATATGTGATTTCATCAACACCTGCACTATCACTTATGAAAATAAAATTGAAAACAAGCGGTAGAAATCCCTTTGGAATCGCTTGCGTGTCATCATGCATTTTATATTTTACATTAGTTTCGTAGTCGACTTTCCCGGAACTACCTAACGAGAGACCGCAATCGTCACAACTTCAACACTAACTTAGATTTGTACTTCAGTCTGGTTGAAACCAGAATAGATATACCAAAATAAAACACGACGGAAATTTTTATACAATATCAGAATTCGACAGATATAGATTTGTGTAGCTGTAAAGTTCAAGATCTTTATTTTCGTCTTTGTTATCACGAAACTTCAAACTTGTCTACACAATAAGAAAACATTTTATATATATATATAATATATTTTTATATCTCTTTAATTTTTTCTTTTTGTTGTTCTTTTTATTGCATTCAGATCATTAGGCTTTATACTGTTCTTTTTTTAATCTGTGTAGCACTCGTGTAATATGTCGTTGAGGCGCTTCAGAGGATCTTCTATCCTGGGGCGCGTAATAAATAATAATATCTATAATATCTTAATAATGTTATCAGTGTTATTTAACGTCATTTATTTATGAAGACATATGATGAATTGAAACGCATGTAATTAATTCACATTTTGTTCGCCACGAGATTTTGAACTTGAATTTTCGTCAACCTTCGCTGACTATCTGACAAGACGCCGATGTAACGTGTCAGTCTCTCCTGAATCTGAGATTAACATAGATTTACGATCACCGTGGGCCGTGAGCCACAGCTGCGTCTACATTAATCCAACCACGACGAACTATACGGCAGCCGCTAACTGTGCCATCCGCATAGCGGACCCGACCATCGTTATATCGTTTAAACGCACAATTACAGCGGCTGCCAATAATATTGACTTGCAAAATAAATTGTGACTTACGAATGGCATTAGCAAACGTTCAAGCCATTACCGGGTAAGGACCGTAACCATGCAAATGACAGAAGGAAGATATATAGAAGAGGGAAGAGACATAGAATTATGTTCTACAATTATCGTAATGAGATACTTTCTACATTTGACAAAGGCTTTATCATGATTGTTATCGATACTGTAACAAAACTACAAAATGGTTCTAATAAATGCAATAAACAAATAGATGGTTACAATCGATACTATATTATTTCCGGTCTCATCGATGAAAAAGCTGTGCAAATGTAATTGATTTTTCATTCTATCGGTGCTTTAATCAAAACGGTCTTTTTCAACTATTTCACGTAAACATTGCAAAGTGTGCCAGAGAAGTATATATCTCGTACACATATTTCATACTGGAAATTGTGAAAACAATTTACCATTTGAACGCTATTTTCGAAACGGAAAAATGCTCGATTGGTATGAGGAAGCGACGCGACATTTCCCTCCCAAGTACCAAACCGTGTAACTCATTCGTGCTTATTGACGCCTGACAGTCTACGAGTACATTTTGCTCTGACATAAGTCGCTTACTTCGTCGCATTTTTAACGAATACTGTGCGATACGTTGCGGAACGAAAGAGAGCTCGACGTCGTGATCGGTGAGATCCGCATCACAGCACGAAGTTCTAGTCTAGTTATTGCGTGACAGCGCTTTAGATCGATCCCGGTAATCCTCAGTGCACCGAGATTAAAAATGTTGACCCTCGTTACTTCTTCCCGTCGACGTGCGCTTTACCCGTAACTGTCCGCAATCTTATCACGTACTGGAGAAAACGTTCATGGCCCAACCACGTAGCAACGTGATGATGCATAGTTCAAAAGCTTATATATATATTCTTTATATCCGGCTTCTCCTTATTCTTCCAGAGGGTCTCGTTTCGTATTCCATGCCCCAAGGAATCAAGAGGGGTTCCGAGGTTGACCTTTCCGACAGGACGTACGACGGCCGCGAAGAAGCGGGTTACCTCTCCGGGGGACTTGGTCAACTTGTCGACGGGCAAAAGGGTCCCGACAACTTCAGATTGGACGTCAGCGGTAACGGAAAGGGTAAGGCACGGACTGCTTCGTGTTCGAATGAGATTAGCGCCGGCGCTAGATCGTGTCTAGATTAGCGTGATAGAGCCGTCTCCGCGAGATACCCTGCTGCCCGCCAACTGTCTAGTCTTCTTAATCTATCGGTATCTCACGCTATCTCACTCGTTAATTTCTTTCTCCGGGCTAAATAGCGGCTCGCGGCCCAGTAATTCCTGTTGTAATTTTGCAACATGGACTTACACGCGCCTCTTCGAACGATTACGCTCTTGTTTCAGGACGCTTTACACTACTATTAATGCACGCGGTGAAATAAGAAAGTAATGAAATAAGAGCGTGCACAAAGCGTATCTTGAATAATGTTAAAACACTACATCAGTATCCTGTACGTAGCTGTTATGTATAAAATGCATTCCTCGTAGCACAGCACATATAATTTCAAATATGTGAATGCGCGACGAGAATTCTGTTAAAATATCTCGGATAGCTTCCGCTTTAGAACGAACATATTCGCTTCGTTATTTCATGAATTTTCAATTTACACGTATTTTATTCGCTTGATTTTATGTATCAAAAGCACACATTACTTTGCCAATATTCCTTCTTTTTTATGGATGCTTACCTTCTGGTCGATTTGTTCGATGCATTTGATCAATCCGAAATGTGTGTGTGTGTGTGTGTTTTTTTTTTATTTAATGAAGCAATGATTAATGCGCGTGATACCGACTGGAACTAATTCATCGCGTGTGGTATCAATAG